GGAATGGAAAAGGGGGAGGGGGATCAATAGGGAAAAGGGAACGTGAGGGAAATGGACATAAATAGGGAAGGAGCGATAAATATGGAAAGGAATGGAAAGGGAAAAAGTGAGAGTTATGGAAGGGGAAAAGCGAAAAGGGAAGGGGGAAGGTAGATGAACGTAGAAATGGGGGAGGGAAGGAGGGGTGGGGGATAAAATGGAAACCGGGACATGAGGAAAAGGGAGTGGGAGATGGTTTGAGAGTGTGAGCGGAGGGAATTGTGAAGCGGAGAAGGGAGGCGACGGTCGTATTTAAGCGCATGAGGATTCTTTTCGGTGGCATCTTGCCCAGTAATGCGGAAAGCGGCTTGCATGGAGAGTGCAGACGAGAGAATTAGAATAAAAGCTAAGGGCTGGAATGAGTAGTAGAGAGGGAGACTTGTGTAGATCGTAGATCGGGTGTGGAGAGAAGAACGCACAGAACGAAAGAGATCAACAAGCACGAAACTTGATGGTTTACTTAGAACGTAAAGCAACCCTTTTTGTCTTAGTCTTTACCTTTTTCCCTTTCATCTGGCTTCTGTTTGTCAAAGACCGTTAAGTAGCATCTGTGGTTAAGCGAAAGACGAGATTTGTCTACATCATAAAAAGAAATCTGGGAACACGTAAGCATGGATCTTCATAACACAGCATCACTTGTGTGGAAGCTGAAATGCATTTTGATACATGGAGAAACATATTTTGCGGAAACAATTATGTGTCAGCATGACACAGTAAATCGGGATATGTCCTGCACGCGTAAATTATTGACTTATGACAATCTCTGCAATGACGGGTTTTACACAATTAGACTTTGCAGGTGTTCATCGCGGATGAGTTCATGCTGGAAAGGTGACAACGAATGAGGACAGCTTAGACAGCGGATGTGGTTGGATGTGGGAATAGCATTTGGTCTTCCAGGTTCCGTTGACGGAACGAATGACGAATGAACAGGAATGTGCAAGTATTGTACAGGTACGAAGCGTGGCTGGAATTCAACAAATCTGATATCGTACGTGGCGGAGATGATATGTGAGCCAGGAAGCACGACAGTTGTCGCATGAGTGAGACGTGTGCGGCAGCGAGCGCATGCACAAGAAGAATTCAGTCTTGGTTCTTTGTCTGCGATGCAACTATGAAAACCCCGGATCTCTTTTTTATCTTAATTGAACTGTTGTCTTGCCATACCTACGAACACATTATGAACTCAAACATCTTGCACTTGTCTCGGTCATTTCGAGAAAGGCTCAGCTGTATTGCTAGGAATTGCATCTAAGCACACGCGGCAACTGACAATTGCATTGGGCTTTGTCTTTGTTACTTCTCATTTGTCAGCATCATTCTCATTATTTCCCATTTTCTCTCCCCCGCATTTCTCTCTCATCTCATCGTGTCCCAGCTCATGATAACCTCTATATAAGCAGCGTGCTCCACTTCCTCCATAAGGTCTTTCACCACACCACAAAATCAAATCAACATTTCAACAACTCCATCTTTCGCTGCGTCTTCCAAAGAACAACCTTTTCGAGAAGGACACGATGCTTCTAAGATTAAGCTCGAGAGCACGCTCGAGGGCTCCCTTCTCTCGCCGGACCAATGTCTGTTGTCCGGGCTTCGGTGCATCAACCTGAACTGCGCCACCTGCGACGGGAACAGGACCGCGGTCTTCCGACGGTGCTGACGACCCCTCCGAGACGTCAATAGCCGAAAAGCTATCGTGTTTCCCCACGGTTTCCTGCTATTTGACCCAATTCTCGCGTCCGACTTTTTCACGCCTTTCGTCTTCATCGCGGTTGATCAAGACGGTTCTGACCTCCACTGCACAGACTTCCTGAAGGTCACTAGGCATTGAAGAATCACTGAACGCGGGGCCGAGGGACTCTCCCATACTGTCGCTAGACAGTTGTCTGCCGTCATGGACGCCGGATCTTTCCTGATCAACGACACGTACTGCGACATGGTGATCCGAACCAAAGTCTCCGTCATCAACATGCATGGCAGTTCCCTGGTTCCCAGTCTTGAGTCTGCGGTTGAGGAAGGGTGGGGCCCTCCCAGCTGACAATCATCCCATTGTACGCCTCGACGTACTTGTACTGTAGCTCACTATGGGCCGGGAGGGCAATGGTGGTTGTGAAGGCACCACCAACGTACGAAAGCGGGAGCGGGGTGAGAGCCGCCCACTCGGAAAGCTCAGCAACGTTTCTGACGAGGAAGAGGCCGGAGGTGCAGACGTGAAGGGAGGCGCGAACGCGGAGGGTAAGGGATGTCGACATCAGGGAGGAGGGATGGCAATAAAAATGATGCGAAGGATGAGGAGTACCGAAGGTTAGAAGTAGGGTAAAGGACGAAGGGGTTTTGACAATTCAGGTGCAGAGCCCCAACGAAAGAGGCTGTGGTTGGGATGAGTTGAGTTGGTTGATGTTGGTTGGTGTTGAGTTGAGTTCGTTTGGTGTTGCGGTGAGGCGAATGGCGTTGTGAAGCATGTTATTTGATTCCTGTGATTTGCATGTGATGTCTGTAAACGCATTTCGCAACTTCTTCACCGCTTCGAATGCCGCGACACATGCATGGACATCGTTGTAGCTTGGTGTCATGGTGAGGGAGACAGCAGCAAAGGTGATTTCAATTCCTGGGCAACATACAAGACACGTGTCGGAGGAAGACACAAGTCTGTAGAGGACGAATCATTAACGACTCTGAACCATCGTTCAAGCATCCATCGTAGATATTTTGCAGTGTTATTGCAGCAGACCAGACGCGTTCTTCCAGACTGCGTGGGGCACTACAGACCCGATAGTGCCACACAACCTCGAACAGTGCCATGCAAAGTGTGAAAGGGGTTTCCGGCCGCTATTGACCTGCACTTTGCAATTCCAAGATAAGTATGAAGATGTTGCACTTGTCAACAGATGGGTTATCCGGATGTGGATATCGCTTCCAGATATACTGTACTTCTGCAACTGTTTCGCTACCGAACTCAACAATGCTTTGGCTTTTCTGCATTTCAGTATCATCGCCGGTAGTTGGGGTTCCATTAAGCTTTGCGTAATCCCTATATAAATGGGTATTATGTAACATGAATCCACGCGCAGGTGTCACTCTGATGGCTCAAAATCCTCAGCATAGATGGAGGATCTGTAAATGAAAATAAACTCGAAATCTGAATGCTCATCGAGACCAGAAAGATGATCTACCCACGTGCTGCAGTCATACTTTCTCAGCCAATAAACGCCTGCCATCTTCACTCGTGACTATGCTCCTGTCGCCGCTCTCCCCGGTGTACATTAGATGTGATGGCTTGTCAGCGAGGGATTTACATAATCTCCTGCGTCAAGCCCTCCGTCTGTACGATGAGCCGACAACATCCTCATCGGGCGCCCGCTGCTTAGCGCACGTCCACAAATTTGAGATGAACGAATCGCTGTCAAAAAGCTTGCTGGTGTAGATATTCACAAAGCCTTGTTACAATTTATGAAGCAGGAGCTCACTTTCTGTTTAAGCTGTGCCCTGCAAACATGTCCGCGCTAACAAATTCGCTCTCAAAGCGATGATGAACGGGGAGACCGACTGGTTTAACGAAAAATCGATACAGGAAACACTCGACTTTATCGAGCAGGTTTTGAACGACGGAGCACTAAGGTCGAGTGAAGTCGGGGCTCAGCGTCTCTATCGATGCGGTTATTGCAAGGAAATTGGTCACAATCGGTTCGTTTCTGTTTATTTGGCGGATGCAGCTTTGATTTTCATGAACGTTTTGGCAAGAAAGAAACGATTCCAGGGCCGCTTATACTGAGCATTGCGCGCAAATCAAACATCCTGCTCTGACGACTAACTTTCCCTCTACCTTGTTCTTCGTCAACCTGAAAAATAACACTAGCCAAACGTGTTTACAGCGCCGCTTTCGTCGCGAGACAGAAGTCGATCCACCGCAACCGTCGAGCTCTCATGTGCCGGCTCCCGCCTCCGCATCGGGGTCGAGGGAAAGACCGAGCAGCAAACACGACCAGATGTAAACAAACATTGATCTGCACGTCCCGACAAAGGCATCGCTGCTGTCAAAGAGAAAAGTCGAGGCTGCAATTGAGAGACTTCATGACAAGGAAAACGGGGATGGTTTTTTGCAGGCTTATGAGGGTTTGAAAAAGGCGTTGGAGGGCCATCGTAAGGTGCTGGAATGTCAAAAGCGGTGTGAAAACGTGAAGAAGATGTTTAAAAAAGATGGCCAAACTGGCTCGTAGCAATAGGCTTTCCTATACGGGTGGCGGCCTGGGGTTTTGCCCATCAATTACACTCATGCCATTGCGCGTCAATGGTTCTTGTGGCGAACGTAAATGTGCCTTTTTTCATCTTGGTTCAGGGGTACTTCATATGTAATTTGAGAGTTACGGATCAACTCTGATGTACAGAGTATCTCGTACATATCTGGAGCATGTCGCAATATGACAAATTGTGCAAAACGACACCGTTGGAGGGCATTTCATGCGCCATCACAGACATTTCCTAACAATGAATATGTTGGCTAATAATGTAACGCTTCTCCTCGTCCACAGCAAGCACTACAGAGGGTGTATTTCCTTCTCTCCCCCGCATGCACGTTGGTGGCAGCAGTACAGTACTGATGTCTGGTTTCTGTTCTCTTTCGTACAGTTTCGTGTTGTAGGTGCTTTATCTTCGTTTTTCTTGAAAGGATAATCAGAGAGCTGCTCTTCTGTCGTTATCATGGACGGGCGTGAACTAAAAGTAACGGACGTAGTTGGCATAGGAAGTAAAACCACCCTATGTTTAGGAGTACACTACAAAATATATGTGAACGAGGTCCGCCAAAAAAAGTTCAGCAGCCTTGTTTCCCATCGTAGCTACACGTATCCTGACGAAAACCGAATCCGTTTGTAGCTCCAGTATGACCGCAACGTAGAGATTTTGGTGCCATTTGACTGTTGAATATGGGTTTATAATTCGAATCAAGAATATCAAATTGATCATCACAGCTGAAATGGTACGTACAGTCTGAGGCCGTCGCAGGTTAGCATACAGAACTGTAGCATCGGGATAGCAGTCCTTGAATACTTTTGACAGCCTAGTACAGTAACACCAGCTAATAAAAAGGGGGTTAAAGAGTCACATAAGGTCAATATGAACTCATGTGAGGACATTTGTCACCTACAGCACTCACTACGAAAATGCTGTCGCACCCGCGCATGGAATAGCGACAACTAAATGGTGACAGTGGAACCATCAAAGAGAGGAATCGTCATGGAGAACTCCTCAGCATACGTAAGCTTCTGCTCCTCCAGCAGGCCGAGGGCAATCTTTTCCCCAAGGATGATGGACTCGCGATAGTCTGTAAAGTAGTGCACACCAGCCCAGTTGCGCCCGACGCTGATATTCGAGCAGACCTTGTTGAGCTCTCCCTCGACGGTCAGCTTCTCCCCCAAAGAGTCAACAACATCCTCCAATTTGCTGCCATCCGCGGTGGGCACGTACGCAAAGTCAAGCTCGTGCTCGTGGTCGAAGAACGCCTTGAGGATAGTGGTGCACGCGCCGGCCACTGCCGCATGCCCTGCGCCGTACGCCGGGTGCATGGGGCTGCCCTCCGGAAACGCCATGGGCAGCAGATAGGTCCTGCCGGAGCTACCCGTCGGGGAATAGTCTTCGAAGCGGCTGTTCCCAAAGTCGTCCTTGGCGTTCTGCTCGGCGTTGTGCGCGGCAACACGCTCGAGCATGTCCTTATCCAGGGCGTCGTACAGCGGCTTGACGTCGGCGAAGAGCGGGTCCTCGCAGTTGTGGTGGTAGCGCTCCACGCGGCCGCCGACAGCCTCCGGACGCAGACGGCGGTGGACGTTGTACTTTTGGAAGCGGATGCCCTTGAGGGCCCTGGTGGCGACCTCCGTGCACAGGGTGAGAATGTGCGGCGGGCCGAATAAGGCGAAGCCCTGCTGCTTGTCGATGTCGTCATCCTTCTGGAACGGCAGGCCCTTGTCAAAGGGGATCTTCTTGTTGAGCATGATAATGCAGGCGTTCAAGTAAGCCTGATACAGGGCATCATAATGGACATAAGTGGCCAAGTCCCTCGGGGTGCAAATAAATCTAAAGCGTTCGCCGTCCTCATACAACTCCCTTCCCCGCAAGTCGGCCCCGTTCTGCACATCCAGCCAGCTCTCCCACGTGGTCATATAGTCAAGCCCCTCGAGGGCGACACGAACGCGCTGATCCATACGCATTGCTCCGTACTGGATGTATCCATCCGCGCCGCTGTTCACTTGGCCCAGCCCCGCGCTTCCAGACAGCAGAAACTGGGAGATATAGGGCCCCTTGCAATCGCCTTGCGTATTCCCACGGAACACGTTCTGCGCGGTAAACGGCCCGCGCAGGCGCTTGCGCTCCTCCTCCGCGACGGCCGACGCGTCGCCGCACGCGAGGGCGACCCACTCGGTAGCGTTCATGCTCTCCATGGCGGCGGCGACGGTGGGGTCCGCGGCAAACTGCGAGAAGCGGACGTCGCGCAGCAGGGCCATCCAGTAGTTCTCCGTCATCTCCAGCGCGAGCTCGGGGGAGGCGAGGGCGGGCGCGGGCGGCATGGTGACGGCCTGCGCGTCCGGCCCCTGCAGGTCGAACGCGTTCCCCGCGGCCATGCTCTCCCAGGCGCGGACGTCAGTGTGCGGGAAGAGGTGCGAGCTGCGTGCGATGCCGGAGCGGAAGCGGAGCGAGCGCGGGAGGCGGACGCCGGGCGCGGCCTGCGGGCCGAGCGGGATGGCGCGGATGTCGTCCGGCAAGCCGGAATGGACCGCCGCCACGAAGAGGTCGTAGTGCGCGGCGTCGGCTGCCAGCCCCGTGTCGCGCTCGTGCGGCAGCCCCTTCGTGAAGTTGGCCAGCAGCAGCGGCGCGCCCGTCTTCGGGTGCAGGTGAAGCTCCTCCGACCCGTTCGACACGTGCGCGGGGTGCGCACGGTCGTGCGCGAGCTGCGCCGCCGCGCGGCGCAGCTCCAGCGCTTGCTGCTGGCGGGTAGCGCACGGCGTGGCTGCGCGGTCGGGGGGTTGGGCGGCGGAGGTGCGCGCGGAGGCGGCGTTGAGGCGCGGATGCGGGTGGCGGGGGGAGCGGGGGAAGGGCTTTGGCAGGAACGGCCTCGGCAGGAAGGAGGTCGGGGTGAGGGGGAGACGGCGCGGCGATCGTCGTAGGGTGGGGGCCGGCGCCTGGGCGAAGCACGGGGTTGCCATCGCTGCACTCGTGCGAAGAGGATTTGGGCGAAGAGGTACTCCGGAAGAAGGCGAGCGGGAATGGATGAGGTAGGGTAAGGATGAGGTAGGGTAAATATCTTAACGATATTTACCCTATCCTACCTCATCCATTCATGTGAAAATTGGTACCGGAG